CTGACAAGGCGAAAAGCGTGGGATCCGTTACGCAGCCGTTACCAACAACAACAACAACGACAGCAGCAACAAAAACAGCAACCACAACCACAACCACCACAACAACAATAACAACAACAGCACCGGACAGATCTCGCCGGTATGTCATTGTCTGGGCAAGCAAGCTCCACAATGCACCGTGAAGCGTCTTGTCGTATCAAAGCATGTGAGCCACGGGCACATAGGTTTGCACTTCTGCCACACATGAAAGCACGTAATGAACGTTTAAGATGCTGGTGGCCGGCTGCAGGCCTTCACTTGATGTGATTGCCTCAATGTTCCATATTGTGGAATTTCAATCGACAGCAGGCTGCTGACCATTTACGTGCAATTGAGCTTTCAATGTGAGAGACCGCCAATTGGTTGATGCTAAAAATGTCATATCGCCTACCTCCATAAGGCTCCTTTGTCGGGACAGACCTCCGAGACAATGGGCCACTGGCATCCAATTAAACAGTGTATGCACTGTCTAGAGGTGGCTTCGAGCAACAGCCAGACAAGCTCTTGCACCCGAGAAGGAGTGCAGCATCTCTAAGGTTCTCATACCATCAAACTAGCATTGTCGCCGTCGATGGAAAATGTGAACAAGGCGAGAAAGGGCTCATGGAGAAACGACGCAGACCCGCTGCTTGAGGATCCATTGCTGGAGTGTGCTGGAGTGCACTCTTGCCCCTGCAGTGTCCAAGTCGGTGTTTGATTGCCGAACTGTATGTTGTTTCACGATCTGATCTCCAAATTATCTTGTCGCATACCAGGCGAAAAACTCCAAAGGCCTGATCGCCTACCCAGCTGCTTTGAAGCACCAAGATACCAAGTCTAGCATCTTTTGTTTCTATGCTCAGCCCATCTCAGCCCCGCAAGCTCCGTAGGCCAGCAAGCACCGTGTTGCCTGGGATCTCTTTGGCGGCCTGCTCATTTTGTATGACCTCTTCATGCCTCTTGGCTTGGAAGGTCTTGGAGGAGCGTTTGCAAAGTAGAAAGCCGGGGGGATCCGGGAAGGGCCGTAGGCTGCAGCGCCTGCGTTCTTGAGGATTCCTTTGAAGGTTTCCGCCTCAGCTTTTTCGGATGTCGGCGCAAGAGCGAGAGTGACCCGCGTAAGTCACGCATGGGCATTCCGAGTGCCTGTGTACTCTGCACCTTGGCATTGGAGGCCGCACTGGGAAGAGACTTGCACAAGCGATTTCTTCTTTACAATGCTATCAGGGTGAGTATCGTGCTCCAAGCTTCCATGGTCAGTGGACCCACTCGGGTCATGGAGCTTTTGCTTAAAGTGCTGCTAGATGCTGTGTCCAGTATTGTCAAGTCGTATCACGACTCTTTTGCGTGGTCTTGGATATTTTGGTGTGGGCCACCAGGTTGAGTCACCTCGTCCTTCGATGCTGATTTCCATCCCCCCGTGCTCCCATGTGCTCGCCCAGTCCAGGATCACGTGGACTCTGCCGCGGCGCTTCAATAGATTCCTGTCAGCTCAGGTCTTCGAGTATCCGGATACGTTTTTCACAGATGCTATGGACAGAAGCCGCACTTTGTGAAAGTCGAGTTGGCCCTTGCCCATCCTCGGCCCCTGACATATCCATTTCTGGCGCAGGATTGGATGACGCTTCTCTTTTGGACCCTCAACGTCGCGGCGACCCTCACTGTGGGCTTTACGCGACGCGGAGAAACGGTGATGGCACCGCACTTTGACTGCAACGGACATCCTGGACACGTTGCCGCGCCTTCGTAGGTGGCTGGGTCTTTGCCTGATTCATGTTGACTGCGGGACGAACCAAGGCGCGAAATTGCGACCTTGCCGAATTATGCTCGTGGTTTGCACGGCCACTCGTTGTCGTGCCATCGGTCAGATACCAGTGAGATCCAAATGAGTGCCCTAAAGCGTTGTGGCTTCAAAACTTGTCAGAGCCTAGCCTGCGGGGTCGAAAGGTTTGACAATGTTTGACAATCAATCAGTGCCTGTTTCAGAATGGGTTCAATAAGTTTTGATGTGCAGTTTACAGGGTGTTCTCGCAGCCTGCCGACTCGCGTGACATCCTGTTCTATTCTCATGGTTGATGGGTGACTTCTTCCCCTCGGGTTCGTACTCCCAGAACTGCCTGATGCTCTGACCAGCCCGGAAGGGAGGAGGAGAGCAGAGTTGCATGCGCCAGCTGTTCTCAGCCAAGTTCAAGAATTACTTGAGAACGTGGTGTATAGTCGACGTCATCACGCTGGTCCCAGACTGGGCATTTACGCTGGTGCGGATAGCCACGCCCAATTTGGAAGGCACGGCTTGAGAAACAGAGGCCTTCTTGTCTTTCGGGGTATTACTCGGTGTTGCATGTATTGCGTGTGTTTTGGGCTTGGCGGCTTGGGCAATCTTGGGCATAGTTTGGGCCCTGTGCCCTTGCTCGTGCCTCTGACAGATGCGAGCAGCGGTGGCCTTGGAGTGGCTTGGAACATCTTGGACCCACGGTCTTCTACATTGCCTCGCATACTTCACTAGAATCACTAGACTGACGCTAAGGAGGAAGGGGTCCGCCTTCTGCGAATCCTTCGTTTGGCCCGAACTGCGCGGCTTTTGCGGTTGCTGAAGCTGCAGAAGGCCGGTGCACACGCGGCAGCAGTTTTCGAGGAATACCTGGTGTAGCTCGTTATAGAGATGGCGTGTGCGAGGTGATGGAGAAAATCAGCGACTATTTGGACTCAGAGGTTGCCAGTATAATGGCCAACATCGCCACTTGCCCATGCAATGGAGCCAATCATGTCTCCATGGTCAGCGAAGGGGCAGACCGCAGCGTCCGCTGCACTTAAAACTTATAAGGCAAAGATGATTCTTCTGTTGCGCCCTGGTTGCGGCATAAGCTTGGCTGTTTCCACGGCGAAAAGCATGTGTTCGGTGTAGCAGTGCGATGTCTTCGCATGGAAACTTTTCTTGCATTAGCACTTCACTGTTTCAGGATGTGCCATGCTTTCCACCCGGGGCAGCCTGCTCTGAATTTTAGAAGTTATAAGCTATGGTGATGCGAACTGTGAGGCTGGCGCTGAATCATTTGATTGCTTGTGCCGAGGCTAAAACTTGGCAAATTTGTCTTGAAGCTCCCGTTTTTCGCCTTGAAGCGTAGGTGTAGAAATATCGCTTCGCATGCTAGTTGATGAAGCCATGAGCAGGACTGACAGCTGGGCCTTCAAAGAGAAGACGTCTTGTTTTCCGACTCATCCGCAGATTAACGAGCAGTTCTGGAACCAAGGTGTATGGTACGCCCTTTCGATCGCTTTCCATGATGCCGGTGTCCCTGCTTGGGTCGAGACTTGGGTGGAACCTTTCAACAGATCCACCCATGGCACGCGTTGGTCCATTCTGTACGGGCTTCCAGGTTCACAGTCCAAAAACTTCCACATGTGTTAGCAAGCCGGCAAATACCCTTGATCCCTCAATATTGGTCTCGACGGCTCGCAAGAAGATTTCTTCTGCATGACCGTGTTGACTCACCATTGTTCTGTCCGTTGCATTGAGGACAGCGGAATGTTGACTGAACCATGGGAGTCTTGGCATGGTGCAAACTTCGATGCACTCGAGGGAGTCTATTTCAGACCATGCCTCGCAGCTTCGTCCGAGGACATCCGCTATGTGACCAGCTTCCACTGGTCGATCACGCCCTGTCGCAGCATCTAACAGGATGAACAGGAGAGCACACACAAGTATTATCCCGGTGCTCGCGTGTCTCTTCATGGCAATGAGAGGGGCCACCTCGGACGAGGTCCTTTTGAGTTGTCTGCCTATCGCATGATTGAATCAAGCTGGGTGGAACAGGTCTGTTTGTGATTTCACATCATGCCACATTCGTGCATAGCAGTGTTCCCAAGGCAATTTACGCCGGCTTCAAAGCCTCAGATCCATCCTGCAAACATTGCTCCTTGGCGAAACACTGACCTGTAAGTACGGGACAGGGCCGTGGCACACAGACATTTTTGCATCATGTACCTTGTGTTATTGGTTAGCGTGACTAAGGTCGAACAGACATTTGCAATCTTTGTGGTGGCCCCTTGCCCGAAGCAGCTATGTGTTGGTGGGCTTGTGGTGACATCTTGTAGCATGCAGCATGCACCGAAGGCAAGTGCTCCATTCACACGAAGGCATGTCCGTAAAAAGCTCTGGATAGTTCCGTCAAATGTCACGAATGGACCCGTTCAGCAGCATTTGCCACTCGTGGCTGTAGTGATGCGAAACTTGGCAAGGTCTTCGCTCTCGTCGGCTTCTCCTATGTCGTCGGAAGCATCCTAGGCATAATCCCATACATGTGGTAGAAGGCATTGCTACTTGTCGTTCATGTGTTGGTAAGCCGCCATTCGGGAATGCATTCCCTGCAGATGGCTGACAATTTCTACGTGCTTACAATGCCGCGAGTGTAGCTCAGTTGTTGTCCTGCCTTAAGCACATGGCCAGATGGGATTTACGTGCGCATGTCAATGTACACTGCATGGTCCCGCGCAGCAACTCTAGAAGAGTTTGTGACAGCATAGTCTGACTGCAGTGGTGGGATGCTCTTCACAAACAGTCTCGCTTGTATTCGCTCGTACATGCGTTTCGTTTATCATCTCGAAAGTTGAGTCCCGGACCTGCAAGCGGCACTTTGAAATTGCGTCGCAAAAACCGTCGACCGCGAGCCTCGAAAGTGAGGCTGCGCATCTTTGACCGCAGCAGATGTGTATGGTGTGTGTGTGTGTGCGGTAGCATCGATACTTGATACTACAGGGGACTGCAGGCGGAAGCATGCAACCTTACAGCGCCACCCTCCCCATTACGAGACAACCTTCGATGGATTCGACTGGCCCCGTGTTCCGAAGTTTTCAGCTTCTTGCTGACGACAGCGACGAGGCTCATGATGCTCAAGAATTTATCAGACCCGTGTGTATAACTCAATGTAGCCCACATCTTCACACATACTCCCGTTAGATGTGCAGATGCCATGACACGCAATAGTGTTGCAGTGCATATCTGTCTGTTAATTAACACTACAGAGAAAGATGTATTGCCATTATGTTATACATTCATTTGCATAGTCTTGCTTGCACGTGCACGTGCAGAACTTCAGGGAGAGGGAGAGAGACAGAGACAGAGCGAGCGAGCGCGTCCGTAGCTACTTTGGCTCAAGTTCAGCGGTTCAAGGACTTCTCTGCGCCCTCGGGGCCTTCTCTCTTTCCTCCTTGCGTTGGGAGCATCGCCCGGAAGCAGCCTGCCCTCGCCGCACAAGCGGGGACGTGGGACAAACTCCATGGAGTCCTCCCAACCCATCACCATCGCGGGGATTGCAATTGCACTTCGTGGGGAGCTGCAGGCCGGCTTCGCGCACCAAAGCAGCCAGCTCACTAAGGAGATTCTCCTCAGAATGGCCATCACCAAGGTCGACAAGTGTGTGGAAAACGTTGAGCGGGGACTGATGCGACAGATTCAGAAGGCTCTCACTTCGATCACGGGAGCTGTCCACCAAGCAGGACAAACAAGCGGTCGCGATTGTGCAGCTTGGTGCCGACGCCCGACAGCTCGCCAACAAGGTGCTTGCGCTTGAACATGGCTGCCCGCTGCCCTGGAAGGGAAAGTCATCTCGACACCGGGAACGGAGGACGCCCCCCAGCGTTCATAGTGGGCGGATGGCATCAGGACCAAGATTGGCTGCTCTCCTCTAGCACATGACGCAGTTCAGTTGCTATCCCTTGGCCAAAATGCGTTCTATCTGCTGCGTCCGTCCGCTGTCAGTTCCGCTGTCTGTCTTCGAAATGAGGCAGCAGGCCTCCAAGCTGGCGAATGCGGGCGAAGCAGGTGACTTACTCGCCATAAGAGCGCCGTGCCTTCCATCGTTGCGAGTCCCCGGGCTGCTACGCTTGGGACGCTTCAAGTTGATCATGGCTGCCGCCGCATTACAGCAGGACTCTCTTGACCTTTGCTGTGAGTTGAGCCCTTATCCTGCCGGCGATATGGCCATCCACAGCCTTGAGGGAGCCCCGTCTTCTCGGGTCACCACGGTGACATTGGGTTTTCTCACTCGGGTGGGTGCTCGCTGTTTGCGGCTCCTCATGGTATCGAATCCCTCGCCGGCTCTCGGACAATGGCGTATCCCGTTCTCATCCCACGAAGCCTTCATGAGATCTACGTTTTCTCCAAGAAAACCTTTGTTACCGGAGAGCCTCACTGTGGGGAGTCCCAGCAGACCTTGGAAAGATATTGCTGATGCACATGCACCAGGGCTGGGGAAGCACAAACAGAAGCACTGAGAAGCGTTGAGCCAGAGTAGCTGAGGGCCATCCGTAGACAACCTGTGGGGGCGTGTGGCTGGATTTTGGATGTTCCCAGCACACGAGGACTCCGGAACACTCCGGAGATGTCTCCATGTTGCCTGTAGGAAAAGTTCCACGGTCCTTGTGAAAGAAAGCCCGAAAAGCCTGAGCAGCCCACAAGGACACCGCGAACATACGGGAGGACATCACGGTCGGACACATGATGGCGCGAAACAGAAAGCAGGGACGGCTTGAAGCCAAAATGCGACGAGGGTCGGGGGAGTCCGGGTTGACGGCAAACCTCGAATCAAATTGAACGAAGGAACACTGAGGAGGCATGAAAAAGTGTTAGTGAGGTGTGCCGGGGCATGTCACTTGTCACTGCTGTCCTTTCTCGTTTTTGCAAGGGCACGGTAGCCCGCATCAATGGGAATCTCCATCACCATCCAATCTGGTGGGACAACCCTACGGTCTTTTCAATCGGATGTTGATTTGCCCAACCCCTCAGACTTTCGGAGGCCACCTGATGTTCCGAATTCGGGACAATCTTTGGTTCACTCACTCCGACCATGGAAGTATCCGACCAAACTTCCGGTCGATGTGCTTCGAGTGAGGGTGCTTTCTTCCTCCCCTTCGCAATCCGTTGCGTTTGTCATGCTGGTTGGACCGTGTTGCTGATGTGTTCATGTAATGCTGATGCTTGACTCGATTACTGGGGATGCCGTCGACGGCTGCTTTTGGCAGGCGAGCACAACCGCACCGCCCGAGGTAAAACCGTCGGTGGAACAAAGCCTGCAATGAAACGCATGTGCGCGATCACGTGCGAGGGACGGAACAGTTTCTCCGTCATGCCTGGAGAAACACAAAATATAGAGATGTCTGCTTGCAAGGTTACCGTGTGACGGACAAAGTCATGTCCGCGGACAATAACACGGTTGTTGACTTACTTTCACCCCCCTTTCAAAGCAGCCCTTAGCCTGGCGCAAGACGGGCAGAGACAGACAGACAGACAGACAGACAGACAGACAGACAGAGACGGGTGAATCGTTTGTCAGGGTCGCTGGCACAGCTGCGGAGCATGACGGAGCAGTCAGCCAAGGATGATCCGCCAGAACCAAATCAAAAGATCTTCTTGGTTTCTTTGTGAAAGGGTATGTGCATTGCTTCGCCGCGATGGCGATGTAGAATATGTAGGGGCGACGAGATCGATGAGTGCCCGCATTCAGGACTTCTGGATGATGCGGCGATTTCTTCGGAGGCTTCGTCCGTCCCTTTTTGATGCGCTGCTATGCATAATTATTAATATTCTGAGTGGTCCATTCGATGGAAGGAACCACGTCCCCATGGAGCTTGCATCACGAATCCAGCGCTTCGTGGAGCATGCGCACTCACAGCAGCAGAAGAAGATGTCAATCCAGGCGGGGTCAGCAGACGAGACACCTTGACAGACTTGTTCGGTTAAGTGTAACTAAAACTCTGATGGAAAGTTAAAGCGATAGCTGCTGCGCATTGCTAAGGAAGTGAAGGTGCCTTGGTATCGCAAAGGAGTATTTCCAGGCTCTGTTTGCCAGGAAGAGGCGTGCCAGGGTTGGTTTCATTCTTCGGTTGTTTTGGGATGGCGGTGTGTGCGGTCGGTATCGGTCGGTCGCACCTTCCCTGTTGCATAGCTTGGCTGTTAAAGCATAGCCCTGTAACGCCATAAGGCCATAATACAAAATATGTAATCAACTCTGAACTGCCTGGGCTTACACCCAAGAGACTTCCTCCATAAGTCCTGTCCTTGCACGACTCGCTAATGGCTACCACGCTGGCTTGCGGCTAGCATCCGGGAGAAGCTGCGCATCCAATCACCATGTTTACCGCTGCTCTGAGGTACTATCACTGTTGTCAGGAGGTCTGATGGAGGAGTTGCAGTGCGCAGCAGCCCAAGCGTTTGGAGCCAAAGAGAGATGCCCGGGAGAGAGAGAGAGAGAGAGAGAGAGAGAGAGAGAGAGATTTGATTGCACAGGAAGCCAGTTGCCGAGGCCATGAACATGCCGCACATGATGCTCCACCCCTTGTTCGCCTTCTTGAACAACTTCTCTGCCCCTCCTTCAAAATCTTGCCCTGATGTCGCTTCTATTTATGGTTGAGTAGTTCCGGCTGATGTCAGAGACCTAGGTCATAACAGTGCAGCGGTTGGCCAAAGAGGCCGTGCAACGCTTCCAGCTCGCCCGCGGGGACACGTATCTTGTTCGAACACTCAGATTTTAATGTTCGAGTTCATGCTGCAAATATTCTTGACGAATGCACATGAGGCAGTTTCTTCCGAACCAGGAAGGCAGCTACCTTTACTTCATCGCTTCCGGCCGGATGCAATACGTGAGGCATCCGTGTCATTCGACAACAGCTAGCACAAGCAAGAATTCTCTGTCAATCCACGAAAAGACCGGAATAAGCTCATGCTGTCTCCGGGTCAAACCATGATACCAGCCGGTTGCTTTTGTTCCCATGCATTCCCTGGTGTGCATGCATTTCTTTCGTGGGAAGGCTTGTGTCATGATGCAGCAGAATTTGGCGTGTTGAGCAATCCTGACTGCTGTCCAGGGATGCTGACACCCCAAACGAGCGCGTGGAAGTTGTGGACAAGGGAGAGGACGGGGGCTGCTGCGACTCAACATTCAATTTCTACATTGTGCCGAATGCGCAATGCTGGCTACTGGATGATGCCAAGCACCCGAACATGCCGACACACAGGACTGGATTGGCGAGCCGGTTATTTGGACTCCATTCTGGATTCATGCATCTCATCTCGAAACCGCTGCGAATCCTTCCCAGAGAGCCAACATGAGCCATGTTGATGTAGGTGCACAGTGTAAGGAACTTGCGCTAGCCAGTCGTTGCCAAAAGTCTCGTGACAGTGCGGATGCGTGACTCTATGTGACTCTGCTTGCTTCCCTGAATCGATTAGAGACTTTCCACTGCTCCAAGTGGCGAGTGTTGTCGAGCTTGTCGCGTGATTTCCTCCTCTGGGTGCACGGACATGTCCTAGTTTGGCACGCATTGGCATGGCGAGGTCGACTGATGTGGTTGCCCATGTTCCGAGGTGGGCCAACTGACTGCTGTCTCAGAGTGCGATCTCTGCGCTGTGGCTCCTAAAGCATTTGGCGATATCGTGGCGCTCGTAAGGCATGAGGAGGGGGGGTAGGTTGGAAACAATGTTTTGATTTTTGATGATGGCGCTTTATTGCAGTCGGCGGGTACGGCTTAAGAGACTTGCGAGAAGCGTTCAAGGATCGAAGTGCAAAGGGTTCCGATATTTAATGGGGCAGAGCACACAAAGTAAAGCTGTCAGCGGAGGATTCGTGCTGCATGTTGCAGGCCAGTCGCCGCAATCGTCGCACGTTATTCTCAAAAATTTATGCTTTGGCCGCTCGGTGATGCAGAAAGAAGCCGGGATGAAATACATGTGTTCTCTGTCAAAACTTGAGAAAAGCATACCCGCCTCACTCAGTTTTTACAGCATCGATTCTGGTTGCTGACTGGATGTTTATAGCTCAACCAAGCAGTCATATAGTAACAATCGGTGTCGTTTTTCTCAGCAGGGAAGCCATCTTCGAGGGGACAAAGCGGCAATTTCCACGACGACACTCAAGTGGTCCGACTCTACGTGTCTGTTTCTAAACATTCGGCTAGTGCGAGACAGAGAGACAGTGAGAAAAAATAATGGAACTAAAGAGACATGCTGTTTGACCGCTGAAAGTCCGACGACGGAAGCGAAATTCAAAGGAAGCAAAACCAATTGCAGCCAACAGGTAAGAAGCTGACGCGGAGAAAGTTTGCGGCATTTGCATATATCCGCGACATCTCGTGCTGAAGCCAAGTCAGCCCTACATTGTACATCTCCTTGTCGCTGCTGTGCACTTGCAAAAGCACGGGGTTGAAAGACGTTACTACTGAGTCGCACTTTGCTCATAAGCTGGGGTCCTTGAAATGCGAGTTTGCTGCAACCTAGCCGCAGTGTGGCTGGCGCCTGTACCGAGTTCTAAGTAGGCACAGGTCCCAACACCAACGGCTTTGTCTTTAAGAACGTTGTTTCGAGCGGTGTTTTCAGATGGCTAACCTGCACGGCTCCTTTGCATGGCTTGCTGATTTCGCTGTACGGCTGCGAGGCTGGGAGGCTGGTATGTGATGTAGTGCCTGCTTGCTTTTGAAGGACGAGGTCCAACACATGCTCCAGAAGTAAGTCCGTTTGTTTCACTTGCAGGCCACCGGTAAAGGTGTTCAACCGTTTGTTCAGCACTTTGTTGGCAACGCATGGCTGACGAAGTCTGACCAACATACAAGTAGTTGAAGTATGTTGTCGTCAGAAGATTTAGTCATCGTATCGATCCCCCTCGCCAAGGGTCAAAGATTTGGACACCAAAGGAGAGCTGACAGACGTCATGCAGGGAGAGGATGCATCTCGGCCAAAAGCGCCAATCGCTGAAGGTGAGTCAACGGGCCACTCCCATCGCTTAGATATCTTGGATGTGCTCATGAGGCCAGCAGCAGTGTAAAGAGCTTTGAACACGAAGGCTTCAAATCAAGTGAAACTGATGGGCGCCAATGTGTAAGTAAGCACCGAGCACCGTCTGAAGCTTCGGTCGCCTCGTCTGCTCTTACCTGCCATGGATGTACCAAGGTGCTGGACCTGATCAGAAGCATCTCGTTGGCATGAAGGTTTGCCACAGTTATAATTCATAAGTTATAAGCTGGTTGCAGCCGGGCTCGATTCATTTGTATTTCAACAGCGGCTTGCTTTCGCTTGCACGGCCTCGAGTGCTGAGGCTTTCTCGACTAGACTTGTGGAGGCAGAGGTTGGGTCCACCGAGAACAACAGACAGTCCGGCACCTTGGTGATTTCGCTTCCGTGATACGATCCGGTGGGGTGTGTAGAAGGGAACGGCCGAAGTGGATTTCCTGCGTCATGAATGAACAGGATCGGCTTTCCCATCGTCTCACAGCTCGAAACCTTAGTATGATGGTCAAACATTGGTGCGACAAGGGTCTATGTGCTTGGATAGGCATGGGCATACGCTTGTACTAGCCTTCCAGTTGTGTACACCGGCAAGCATCGTTTCACTATGTCCGCGATTTTCAGCCGTGTGTGTGTGATCAGAGACAAAAAAGCTGGTGAAGTGCTGTCGCCTTAGCGCATCGAAAGAGCCCAAGCATTGCATGCACGCATGCGGGAGCTGGCACCGAGAATTGCACATAGCCGAGGGCCGACAAATCACCGTAATGGTGTCGGTTTCGAGTCTTTCCGGCTCAAGAAGCCCGCTGCTGTGCATGAACAGGATTCAAGCCTCCTTTTCGACACGAGCATCTTGGGTTCCATGACTTACACCCTACACTTGAGCACCTGGGCCGCAGAATGTCCCAAAATGTCTAGGGTTCAGGGGTTTAGGGTTATGCTGGTATGCAGCCGGCAGACCTTCTAAAGTCGTGTCATCTTGCGCAATGGGTTTAGGGTTTTAAACCCTATAGGGCTTAGGGTCTAGGTTTTACCAAGAATAAAGTTCCAAGGCTTGGGGTTAGGAGGGTTTGAGGGTTTAGGGTGGCTTAGGGTTTGTGGGGCTGGGGATGTAGGATGGTTTTGTTTCGGATTTGTAGAAAGGTTTAGTGCAAGTGGGTTGGAATTGGATATCAGTGCGGCTTAGGGTTTCGGGGTGTGATGTTCAACTTTTTAGAGAACTGGAGCGTCCATTAACAGTATGTAGGGTGCAGAAGGTTCTCGTGAATAAGTAGACTTACTATTCTTGTCGACGGCTGAATCTTTAGGAAAGTCATTTCCACAATTTCGAAATTTCCCGAAACACGAAAACCTTAAAACGTCGTCAGAGCTGCTCGGCTCGTGCCTTCGCCGGGACGAGGCCGCTCCGTAGAGGCCGGGTTGAGGGTCCCCCGAGGGTTTAAGTAAATTGCCCCCCCGAGGGTTTAAGTAAATTGGCGGCGTCAGCCCCCGCGAGGGTATAA